CATTGAACTCAATGACCGCACCGTTCACTTTGAGACTCCCGCCCGTGTTATGTACCGATACTTTCCACGCAAACCTCAACCCATTCTCAAGTTTTCCGTCCACTGAGATAGAGTTGTCCGCCGCGTGAACGGCCTGTTTATGCGAGTCCTGTAGCTCTATGTGTCCGGTGTATGCCTTTCCCTGATTGGCGGTCAACCGGACGACCATTACCTCCGACGGATGATTAGCGAAGATCTCCCGCTTGTATTGAACTCCGTGTGACTCGTACTCAACGGTCGCGACGGCGTCCCCGACATCAAGGGTTCGCTTGTAGTGAGTGTTGTCCTTATGTTGCGGTAAATCAACGATAAGATTACCCAAAGTCTGGTAATCACCGAAACCGGGGCCGCCGTACTCTTGGGACGGGTTGTCATCGCCCGTCCATAAAGTGATTTCATTCACATTTATTCTCTCTTTTTCTAATATTTAGAATATTAATTGAACAATGTCATTTTTAATATACAGAGATTGTTTACTTTGTATTTGTGCATAAATTGTGTAATAGGTAACGACAAACTGTAGCAAAAACTCAATATCTATACAAATGAATGTGTTCTGTAATAAATACTCTATCGGGTGACAGAAAAATACAAAATGTCTAAAATAATGCCATAGATCTATGGGCTTGAAGTGGACCTATCAGTCAAAAATAGTTTTCATTGTTTTCTCATTGAAAAGCATTGCTGTGTTTATAATGCAGTTTCTGATAGTGGAAACTGTATTGACTGATAGGTCCACTTCAAGACTATAGATCTTTGGCATTATATTAGATATTTTGTATTTTTCTGTCACCCGATTCAGTGTTTATTACAGAACACATTGATTTGCATAGATATTGAGTTTTTGCTACAGTTTGTCGTTATTACACATTTGATGCGAAAATACAAAGTAAACAATCTCGGTATATTGAATCGTAAATTAAACTTTTAATATAACTCAAATGAAATTATGTTATAAATGTTAGTTTTGATGACTAACCCGGGTGTCCATAAATCAATCCACCAAACCTTCCATTACCGATAGGCACGGCCTCATTCATGCCATCCGCGGCCGGTTTGTCATACCAGAACACATTGTCACTCGCCCGGACACATGTGACAAATACCTGGATAATAACTATAAAAAGTAACCTATTCATCTTTATTTAATTAATTTACTGATGTTTATGAATATTTATCCCTTATATATTAAGTACATCAAGGTTATATTATATAACTTATATACAATATATAAGCATATGTGCTAATTCACAATATTTATCATTAGAGTCAAAGTGGCTTAATAGTGCAATTATACCTTACTCAAATATAAAAACATTTAAACATCTTATCAAGGCATGATTATTTAACTAGTGTTGAATAAAGTCCATTTATAGATACACTAATGTTTTCATATAACAAACAATTAGCATTGATAATCTAATATTAATAGATGAGTCTATACAACACTAGTTAATGCAACTTTAATGTTATTATACCTTATCTTATTGAATTGAACTAGTACATAATACATACAACATAGGGCGGTGTCACTAAGTACGTACGCAATAATTTGACCAAAAATTGACCCCTTCCCCCTAGTTGCATATCGTACGCATAAAACCAACCCCTACCTCAAACGTACATACGCTTTAGATAACCCCCGGATAAGCTTTTAATTATCTGCTTGTCCTGCACTGTAACGGTTGTCCATTTTTGACAGTCCGGCAAAAATACTTTTAAAAACTCTTCATATTAGGGAATAATTGAAGACATTATTGCACAAAATATTTTAAGCAAAGTAACATTAAAATGATTATTTTAGTGAATACTTTAAAACTAGTTTATATTACTTTAATCTTCACTATATGTGAAAAGGATTAGCATTTTATACACTAATATTTGTTAAATTCTTATCAAAAATTTCAACACTTAAACATCTACCCCCTATTGTGTACATACGCTAACGGTTAGCGGCTAACCCATTACCCAATCTATCCTACGCTTTTGGCATGACCCCTCCCCCCTACGCGTGTGTACGTACTTAGTGAACGCAGTCTAAGCTGATATCCAATACAGAATTTATCAGAATATAGGTTTGCTCAATTGATAAGCGAGTTATTAAACATTATGGCATACCATTATTATTTGATCCACTTTATACACAATTGAGTGATAACTTTATACACACAGTTCGAATATATGGCTCAGTACAATTTTGGATTAGATTCCAAGTGAAGTGATAATTAATACACCTTTGTAAGTGTTTGTATTTTTAATATTTTAAGTTCCAATGTCCCCTAGATTAGATAATTTATATTTAATTAAATATCACAAGCTATTTATATATCGCACAATTATTTATTGTTATTTATTAATGTTAATTTTTTCATTATTTATAAATTTTTAGTAATTTTATTTATTTATAATTCGATTTATATGATGTTTCATGAACATAGCATGCTGTAAGTTATCAAGGTACTAAGTGCAACCTTGGTGAATTATAATTAACTGTTTAATCTGTAACTGGTATTATTACTTATGCACTGCATTAAATCTTTTACAGTGCATAAGTTATAGTAACAGTTACAGATTAAATAGTTAATTATAATTCACCAAGGTTGCACTTAGCGGTCATAAGATGATTCTTGATGTGTTTGTGTTGAAAATATTTTTAAAGTATACTCGTCTTTATTATCATAAAGTAATCCATGAGTTATTTCACATAAATTTTATTTATATATAGATATATTATACTTATTAAATAAAATTGTTTAACAAATTACAGAAATACGGAATAATATTTTTATTGATTAAATAATTTTATAAAAACATAACTCGATTTTATTTGCATTTCACACAAATAATGGTACAATCAATATTAAATTTACCATGGCGGTTAATATTGGTTTCCATTCAAAGCTAGAAATGAAGCTTTCAAATGATTCTTGTTCAAATTTATTCACATTTTTTGTCACAAACACTGGTGCTTGATCATATTTTTGACATG